TTTTTTCAGTAGAATGTGGGCGTTCTTTTAGATGCACCAGGTCATAAAAACTATGTACCTAGTATGATGGAATATTGATACGATATTTGTTTTTTATATTAATGTAACAGATTGGAAAAAGTCGTATACATAATACAATATTCCATTACCACTTTATTGAAATTGTTTAACATTTTCTTATATTAGAGAGAGAGAAGATCAAACACGTCAACATGTTGGTTGTTCTTAGAGGACTTCCAAACTATCGAAGAGGGCATTGAGATCGTTTCTGAATTAGTACTAAGGAATATATTCCCTTATTTGTTTAATTGTTGTCCTGAGCGAAGCGAAGGACTATATAATTCTGTGCAACAGACTATATCACGTATGTTACGCAAGTTTCAAAAAAAAAGGAAATTAGATTAAAAATTGGTTTTTAATAGGAAGCAAATCACATGATATTACACAACTTTCCAAAAATGGAATCTGGTGTGACCGATTTTTAGCAATTCTCTTGATTAATTTAGATAAACAAAAATAAACATATTTATAGGAATTAGTTTAACGGAGCTTAAGTTTGAATCATTGGTATTGAGAAATGATCAGCTGCAAAATAAGCGCATGCATATTTTATGTGATTTTCTCTGCCACATAACATGCATCACATATTCCAAAATGGTTACCATTCAGGATACTATATGGAAGGAATATTTCGAACTATCGTCTACTAAATAGGAGTTTTGGTAATTATTATAATAAAATTGAGCATTTTTAGTTTGAAGAAATATTTTTAAGTAGTAGTTTTTAAAATAAAATAAAATACCTACATAATACGAAAATTCGTCAGAGACATTATATTCTCATTGAACCTTCGATATAAGCGACAAGTTTTCTTCCCACACACGGGTGCTTTCTTTGCATAACGAATAATAGGATAGACAATAAAATAGCATACATGAATTGTATCAATCTGCAAAATGACAAAACGCCTGTGTTTTTTTACACGACATTTATTTTAATGTTTTCACATGTCACCAAATGAGATCTTTTAAGAAATATTCTGTAAAAAATCGATATTTAATGAATTCACTTTCTTTTTTAATTTTGAAAAAAAAAAAAAAAAAACAAAAAATCACATTTTCTTTCAAAAAAATAAAATAAAATAAATAAATTTTTATACTTCAAAAAATAATGATTATTACACAAACCTTGCTATCAATCGGCAGGTTACCCTTACCCGAATCCTGCCGACAATTGTCGGTAGGTTAGCCTTACCCGACCGAGAATGTGTGGGCGCCCACAATAGCCCCGCACAAGCTTGCCGACAATTCTAACGTCGGCAAGCTTCGTTGCCCCAACCGGCGGGTCGGGCAAAATAAAACGTTTGGATGTATGTACTTGGTTTTTAGTTTGGGTATTTGGATGTACAAATAGGTTTAGTTGTATTAGATATGTTGTTGTATTTGGATTCGTATTTGGATGTGCAATTTGTTGATGTTGAGTTGAGTTGGGTGGGTCGCAATTAATGGGTGGAAGTTGTAGTTATTTGAGAGATCTTTTGAAATTAATCGTGTAATTTTTTTTAAATGTATTTTTTTTTTTTTATAATTAATAAATAAGGATAACATTTGTAACCTATAATAAACATTATAATGATTAAATAAAAAATTATTTTTTAATTTTTATATATTTGATTCGAAATTTCGCCGGCGTTTATTTTAAAATTTTGCGGTTTATCGGATATTAATTATAATTTCTGCTCATTTAGCGAAAACAAAAATTAATTTTTATTAATTTTTTTTCACATAGTAAATAAATGAGACAAATCGGACATGCATTTAAACGGAAGTTTAATGAACTATTCATCGTTAAAAGTTAAATAACGTGAGTAAAAAAAATTGAATACGTATTTATTTATATTTGATTGGTATATAACAGATTTATAAATTTGATTGAAATTTCTAATTATTTGATTGGCACCGACATTCCGACATTTCCGAACAATCCGACAGTGCCGATAAAAAATTTACATGCGGGCTTCCGGCTTACAGCTAATTTCATAAGTCACGGGACAGCCGATAATATCCGAGACTTTTCCGAGAAAATTTATAAGGATTTGAAAAAGCCAACCTTATTTATAATTTATAACATTTAATTTTCTTTTAAAAATTTAAAATTATTTTATTTATTATTGTATTTAATTATTAAAAACAGATATAATGAAATAAATTTTAATAATAAAAAAAAATAAAAATAAAATTCTAAATAATGCGTCAGAGGAAACGGGAAGGTTGTTATGTTAATTAATAAGGTATAAACCGTATAGTCCCGAAAATAAGCACATAGTGACATACAGGCATTTATTAGTATATAGATGACGAATAATATAATAAATTATGTGACAAATAAATAAATTACATAAAGGATAGTGTCACGGGGTGCTTATTTTCGGGACTATACGATATTCG